CTGAACTGGAAACTACTTGGTCCAATGTAAAGGCCCTTTAAGATTAGCTTGCTAATAATAATAGAGACTTACTGTGAGTACCCTTTCAGATTTGCAATTTCATAACAAATAAGTGATTATAGTCTGGACAGATGGAGATTTCTTATAATTAGACAAAAGTATAAGGACATTTTATGTATTAATCTAAACCTTGAGAGCATTAAAAACCAATTTATACTAACTTGATTAGTTGATTACACCATATCAATGCTACAGAAAAACTTATGCACCTGCTAGTTCAAAACCAAGCTGGTGATTTCAGCTTCTTGAATATCTAAACATTACAAATTGGTCACACACATTCTAGAAAATAAAGGGATTTTGATAGCAGTTTTTCGAGATCCTCTTTTCTAGAAAAATCTAATTTTGATAGCAACTTTTCGATGTAAGAACTGTCGGGCCAAGGTATATATTTGTTATACGTTAAAAGGCTTACATTTTGTTCAAGGGATTCTAAGTGGAACAGACCTGTAAGTGAGGCTAACTCTATTTGTAAATACTCCTGCAAGCAAAACAAATTGAGAATCTTTAAAAGGAAAACTATAGATCTGCACAGTGAAGCTATGAATTTGCACAATCAATTGAGAATCCTTCAAAGTTCGCAGCTTTCGGGTTCAATGAAATGTGCATACACAAAGAGGCCCAATAATGACTGATAAAGTCTATGAAACCAACACCCCATGACATAAAAAGGCAAAAACAATGGCACCTAAAAAATTACGTACTTGGTGGCCATCCCCCTCACAGCAGCCCCTTCTCCCTCTGTTGTTCTCCTTTACGGGCTGAAATGCAAAACACCAAATCTATAAAAAAAAACAACAAGACCACTATCGACATAAGTAAGCACTCATAACAAAATATAAAATAAAATATCAGTATCACCTGGAAAAACAAAGTGGTAGGAGGAGGTAATCTATTATAATAATAATAGACTTTCAATATGATGAATATTGTACTATTTTCCAGCTCTTTAGTTTCCAGGCTATATGTGTAAAGTACAAAGGGATTAAGGCAAAGAATATGGTACCCTAAAAACCAAGCACAACCATTTCATCACAAAAATGTAAACCAAAAACTGTGAAACATCAATAATATTTGTAGTAAGCAATGAATTGATTGCTCTGGAGAAAAATATGTTTTATATACAAAGGCATTAATGCAAAAGAACATGGCAGCTTAAAAAGAAAGCAAAACTATTTTATCCAAAAATTAAAACCCAAAAGTTGATCAGAGATGAATGATCATGTTCCTGGGTAACACAATATACAACAGGTACACAATTCTAAGCATAACTTGCAAAAAAAATACACCAAAGGTATTGTTCCTCCTCAACTCCAAACATTTTTCTCCAGAATGCACCTGCTTGCTGAGGCACAGGTTACATTTAACACACCAACAATAGGTTGGTCCCAGCATACTTAGGGTGTTGGCGTCGGCGTTGTGATGCGCGTTATTTTTTAAGCATGTTTGGAGCATGGACAAAACATATGCTGGCAAGCAATCTACAGTTGCTGTAATCTGCAAAACAATGTTGCATCGACTCCGAAATAAGGATAATTATCAATGCACTGCATTATAGTACTTAAACAAAAAATAAACACAACAACAGGACAAAATAGCAATAAGGTGCTGTAGACATCGAAATTTTAATATTTTATAAGGTGCTGTAGACATCAAAATTTTAATATTTTATTAATTAATGTGTTTATTTATTTTTGGACATAAATCCAAGATAAATAAGATACTTAATTAATAAATTATTTATTTCTTGCCCACCAAGTCAAATCTTAGCATAAGAAAGAGATTATATCAATCTTAGGAGAAGGAAAGAGATTATATCAAATCATAAAGGACCAATCAAATTGAAGTCTCCTTCTCCAAGACTCTCTCTCCTACACCTATAAGTAGGGCTCTCCTCAATGTCATAAATAAACACCTCTTGAATCAAAGTCTCAAAACTCTCTTGAAGATTTGAAGACGTTCTCGAAGATCCAAGACACTCAAGAGATCAGCATTGAAGAATCAAGACTCCTAGCTTCCGAAGTCCGTTCAATGAAGAAGAAGGCCATGAAGAAGAAAAAGAGGCGACGGCTCTTCCCCAAGAAGTAAAGAGACGACTTCTACTTCTCTCAAATCAATCCAAGAATGTCAACGACGTTCAAGAAACATTCAAGCCGCGTTCATCGAGAAGTTCAAGCAACGTAGCGTTTGATTTGGGAAAAAGCTCTCAAGCCCTCGAGTCAACGTTATTCAAGCTCAAATCCATATTCAAAGATCAAAATCGAAATCCATAAAGAGAAGAATCAGATGAGGAATAATAGAGATTGTAACCCGCTATATTATTTTGATTCGAGAAATTCATTTGAATAATATTTTTCGTGTTTTTAAATTCAATACACGAAATTTGTTGTTACAAATTTGCATTTGTAGACATCAAAAATTTAATATTTTATTAATTAATGTCTTTATTTATTTTTGGACATAAATACAAGATAAATAAGATATTTAATTAATAAATTATTTATTTCTTGCCCACCAAGTCAAATCTTAGGATAAGGAAAGAGATTATATCAAATCTTAGGAGAAGGAAAGAGATTATATCAAATCATAAAGGACCAATCAAATTGAAGTCTTCTTCTCCTAGACTCTCTCTCCTACACCTATAAATAGGGCTCTCCTCAATGTCATAAATCAACACCTCTTGAATCAAAGTCTCAAAAACTCTCTTGAAGATTTGAAGACGTTCTCGAAGATCCAAGACATTCAAGAGATCGACATTGAAGAATCAAGACTCCTAGCTTCCGAAGTCCGTTCAATGAAGAATAAGGCCATGAAGAAGAAAAAGAGGCGACGGCTCTTCCCCAAGAAGTAAAGAGACGACTTCTACTTCTCTCAAATCAATCCAAGAATGTCAACGACGTTCAAGAAACATTCAAGCCGCGTTCGTCGAGAAGTTTAAGCAACATAGCGTTTGATTCGGGAAAAAACTTTCAAGCCCTCGAGTCAACGTTATTCAAGCTCAAATCCATATTTGAATATCAAAATCGAAATCCATAAAGAGAAGAATCAGAGGAGGAATAATAGAGATTGTAACCCGCTTTATTATTTTGATTCGAGAAATTCATTTGAATAATATTTTTCGTGTTTTTAAATTCAATACACGAAATTTGTTGTTACAAATTTGGCACGCCTAGTGGGACTTTCTCTACCTCTCATCTCTTCTCTCCAAATCAAGTTCGAAGATCTTTGAAGATGCATGAAGACTTCTTTGAAGAAAATGTACAAGGGGCAACGAAGGATGATGTCTTCCCAAGCTATGAGTCCGTCCATTGGGGGCAATTCACATTGAAAGCTCCATCAAATCCTCAAATTCAAATGCTCCTTGATATGAGCCTAAACTATCTACATATTTAAGGCTCCTTGATATGAGCTTAAACTATCTACATAAGCTCCTTGATATGAGCCTAAACTATCTATATGGCTCCTTGACACGAGCATAAAATGTCTTCATATCAAGATCTTCTTGACACGAGAATAAAAGGTCTATATATCAATCTTGAAGGCTCCTTGACACGAGCATAAAATGTCTTCATATCAAGATCTCCTTGACACGAGAATAAAATGTCTACATATCAAACTTGAAGGCTCCTTGACACGAGCATAAAATGTCTACATATCAAGATCTCCTTGACACGAGAATAAACGGTCTATATGTAAAATTTGAAGGCTCCTTGACACGAGCATAAAATGTCTATAAATTTGAAGGCTCCTTGACACGAGCATAAAATGTCTACAAAATTGAAGACTCCTTGATACGAGTATAAAATATCTGTCAAATCAAATCAAGACTCCTTGATACGAGTTTAAACTATCTACAAATGATGTCAAATGAAGAACTCCTTGATATGAGTATAAACTATCTACAAATCAAGTCAAATGAATAACTCCCTGATATGAGTTTAAACTATCTACAAACTCAAGTCGAAGAGCTCCTAGATAAGAGTTTAAACTATCTACATGTCCAAACCAAATTCAAAATTTTGAGACTCATTCACTACCAAGACACTTTGTCCGTGAACAAGTCTCAATGGGGCATTTGTAGACATCGAAATTTTAATATTTTATTAATTAATAATGTCTTTATTTATTTTTGGACATAAATCTAAGATAAATAAGATATTTAATTAATAAATTATTTATTTCTTGCCCACCAAGTCAAATCTTAGGATAAGGAAAGAGATTATATCAAATCTTAGGAGAAGGAAAGAGATTATATCAAATCATAAAGGACCAATCAAATTGAAGTCTTCTTCTCCAAGACTCTCTCTCCTACACCTATAAATAGGGGTCTCCTCAATGTCATAAATCAACACCCCTTGAATCAAAGTCTCAAAAACTCTCTTGAAGATTTGAAGACGTTCTCGAAGATCCAAGACATTCAAGAGATCGGCATTAAAGAATCAAGACTCCTAGCTTCCGAAGTCCGTTCAATGAAGAAGAAGGCCATGAAGAAGAAAAAGAGGCGACGGCTCTTCCCTAAGAAGTAAAGAGACGACTTCTACTTCTCTCAAATCAATCCAAGAATGTCAACGACGTCCAAGAAACATTCAAGCCGCGTTCGTCGAGAAGTTCAAGCAACGTAGCGTTTGATTCGGGAAAAAGCTCTCAAGCCCTCGAGTCAATGTTATTCAAGCTCAAATCCATATTCGAAGATCAAAATCGAAATCCATAAAGAGAAGAATCAGAGGAGG